AATAGTAGAAGGGCTTGTTGACATGTTGTTGACATATTCTTGACAGAAATGTAACAGAATTTAACCTTGTAACTTCGTAACTTTGTAACTTCGTAACTTGTAACGCTATTTCCAGGGACCCGTAGCAGACGTTCTTAGCGGTTCGATTCTCTCTCTGCGAACCGCAAAGTTCGCAAAGTTAGTAGAGGACTCGAAATGTAGCGATCAAAGAAATTCCATGTAAAATCGATGAACCTGGCACAGAAATCGAGGACATTAGTTTTGAATCCTTTGACGAGAATAACTTCAATAAGGCTCGTATATAAGACAGTCCGGCTCATAGATTTTCCGCTTCGGTAGCATGGGGTCAATACCTATGGTTTTAAAAACGTTCTTCAAATATCGCGTTGTTACGAATGAATCTAAACTTTTTTCATACTCAGGGAGTGGAATGGTAGTACTGGCTTTGATTTCTTTGGATTCGTCGAATTTTGCTAAAAAAATCCATGAAAAACTGACTAAACTATCGAATGTACATTTACATGTGATTTTGAAATATGATATGTCCGCCAATATGGCGGCCGAGATACGTGTGACGTCACGTGAAATCGATCTAAGTTTTAATATTCTTTTGTTATGAGCTGTATCTGAGGTTAGTTTGTTATAACAATTATAAGCTGCTCATACTAGCAGCCGGCTTACACACCATACCTGTGCATTGAATTAATTAGTTAAACATTTAATTTTGGTTCGCATTGTGAAAAAACGATTTCTAAGGCAGCCTACGAGCCTGAGAGTAATCAACAGGTCAAAACTGTCTGCCCACGAGCTATAATCTCTGCAACTGTCGCTATGCATTTTTTTCTGCTGATTATAGGGCATTTTCTATAGCAGCTGTTTATATTTTAACAAGACAGTACTGCTCGATGTCGACTACAATTCATATTTGATCTTTTTAGTTTTCATTTTGCTAAATTAATAGGTAAAAATTTACAAAGGAAATGTGTTGTTTCACTTCTAGAATCACACCTATCCAAGGAATAAGCGAAAAAGTGTAATGTATACGTTCGTTTTTTCATGCCGAAGGATTCGCGTCTCTGAGCATGCAAGTGTTTTTATGCATCTTAGCGAAGAATTGAGGAGTAGTTGGTGCATGGAGGAAGGGTTGGAGACAGGGACAAACCCCTAACAAATCTTAACATAACTATCAATTGTGGTTTGGTCGGAAATCTAGATTTCTTTCAGTGAAATTAGTTTTTGCAACTTCAATAACTTTATATTTGTTTGTTTTGTTTTCAAATAATTCTATCGAGAGCAGGGATAATTAGAAATAGCATGGGCTAATCAAATGCCTAGGTCATTCAAGAAAGTTTAAAGCATGTGGATAAGTGGACAAAACAGGAACGCATATGATTGACATAAATACTGAAGTATTGAAGATTGATTTTCAAGTGCCATTTAATATGCATATTTTATAGTGAATGGGCACATAACTGAAACAGCCTTAGTTTATTGTTAACCGACTGCCAAGTCCGACGCACGCAATTTGTTTAAAGGTATATGATATAGTTGTGATATGACCGGAGTTATCTTATTGCAAACTTTGCTATTGTCCTCACAGTTGTGTCGCTATTTCGAGTAGTTTCATCGTTATAAGGAGTGGCTGCAACATCTTAGGTGTTGTCGTAACATTCATTTATCAAACTGTTGTTTTTCTCTCTATACCATAATGTATATATACACATCAACAGATGTATATTATTTTCGCGCAGAGCCCTAGGCCGCCTGAGGTTACGTGGTCCTACGTTTGATGCTTTCGTGTTTTTACGTTTATAAACTAAAAATTATATAAAGAAAACCACTTTTTCTGCTTTTGTTCCATTTTGGATAAGTGCTTACAACTAAGTATAGTACAACGGTCATTATAGGGAGTTCAAACATAGAAAAAAATCCAAAGCCTTTTATTCTTATTAGAATATTCTCAGGCTCACATGTGAAGATTTCACACGCGATTGGCTGTAGTTGTCATCAAGTTTATTAGTACATGTCAGCATGATAAAAAAATATAGCTTTTTTGTTAAATTGTTTGCTAAAATCAATTTAGTAGTTGTAATCATGCTTTATACTAATTTTGTTTGAAACTTGAGGTATAAGATGTCAATTTGCCTAATACGATGCTAGAGTCATCACACTTGTACCGTGAAACATAATCAAAGAAGTAGTAACTATTAGTTTTTATTTACTGACTCATTGTATGAAATAGTAGATATCACTGAACCACAACAATTCTTAAAAACAAAAGGTAATACACAAGAGACTTGGAAGCCAAACAATGTTATTAAAAGCTACCTAATGAAGAAGGAGGAATTTGTTAAAAAATGTCCCACCCACAAGGAAAGAAATAAAGAGCTAGTTTAGTTCTTTGTTAAACCCAGAGGAAAGATGTCGGGAAGGGCTAGAACTTGTGTTAAATATAGGCTTCATGGAAATCGAGTTCATTGAAAGGACATAAAAAGAACTGCCCTATTATTGATTATAGGGTGAAAGTGAAATAGATAGCTATAGTAACTAACTTTATAACTGTTACGAGTGCTGCTGGAAATAATGATTTGGTAACTATTGTCACATGCTAGAAAGGTATGTATCTCACAAACATTTCCGAAATGATTTATAAAATTTATTGTGTTTTATTCTGAGCTTCAAGCAAAGGAAATTTAAAACGTCGCCGCTGGCTGTTGTCAAATCGCTTAATTATATTGACTAGTCAAATAACTCAGCTTTGAGCGATATTAGAATTCGTTCGAAACCACGTTGCTTTTATAGATTTTTGCGGGTCATTTCAGTGCGTCTTGTCTTGATTTTTAGGTTAGGCTCTTATAATAAACTCGTTAGATAACACGTTCATTTGCGTACTGGGTTTGCTATTGTTACAGTATTTTCAATTTAGCCTTAAAATGTCTTCTGTCATWATTTTGCTGCGCCGCAGAYAATAAAGACTCCAAACGCGTTTTAGTGCGTCTTTTGTGGTGATTTTAGCTTTAGATGTGTCTTGTGTCTTGATTCCACAGCAGAGCGCAAATAAATAAAGATTCGTGAAACGCGTTTCCTTGCGTACTGTGTGGTTATTTTAGCTTTAGATGTGTCTTTTGTCTTGATTGAACATGAAATAAAGACGGCAGTTGTCAAGTCTCTTGTGTATTTGCCTTTTGTTTTCATGAACTGTGTTCGGTTCAGTAATATCTACTATTAATCAAAAAATAGACACTAATATTTACTCTTTATTTTGATCATATTTCACGGTACAAGTGTGATGACTCTACTGCAATTGAACTACCTCAGGCATAACAAGGAGCCTGCACAATGCGTCTTTATGTGGTCATCATTGCTATCATGGTAACAGTGTGTGTGTCTGCGCCAACCAGACAGGATCAGAACATAGGTAAAACTCTCGTTCAAATAACTCTTCTTTACAGGTTAACAGGCTTGAAAGGTCGCAGAGGCGTATCAAGGGTTCACTGAACAAGGCTTCAGGGCCGTAACCAGAACTTCTACCGTGGGGATGCACATGTGATAAAACCGGACCATTTTAATTATTGGCCTTTTATTAGTAGTTGTCAATTAACTTTTCAGCATATAAAGTCGGAGCGGTTCTCAAACCCCATGAAATACACAGTGATTTTGATTATTATCTTTATTATTTGTGATTACACGTTATTAGTACACCTTATACAAGGTCCTTCATGGATTCAGTTCGAATTCCAGTTCGTTTTGAAAAACCAAATACAGCTGATTCGTGCCCGATAAATTCGACAAAACAAATTATGTTTTTGAACTAAATCGATTTAAAATCTAAAACAAAGATTCATGTAAGTTCTTTAAAAACATAAAGATAGATGAGCGGACCTTCAGCTTCTCTGGGGGGAGGGGGTGTGTGCACGTGCACCCAGTGTACCCCCCTTGGTTACGGGCCTGGTCTTATCCATTCAAACATATATTTTGACTATAGGATCTCAAAACAATCTAAAATTTGCAAAGTTGACACATGACATAGACCGTATGTTAGTATTGTTTATTCATCTTTTATCCATTTCATAGATCGTTTACCTTGACCTTTTCTACTTTACATTCAGAAGTGAGAAGAGAAAAAAGCAAAGGCCTCAACGCACAAATTTCTCTTTTAAAGGTATGAGACTAAGATGTGATTGTATTGGAGTCAATGAATTTCTGCTACAATATTTACTGATGCCTTTAAGGCAATGTTTCTGTTTTCGTTGACCGTGAAACGAAAGTGACTTTATATTTTATTTATCGCCAAAAAGGGCTTACTATAATCGCCGAAACGAAACGAAACGAAACGAAACGGGAA